GCATGCTGAATACTTAAGAGTAGTATTGCAAGTTTTGAAAGAGGAGAAGTTGTATGCAAAGTTGTCCAAGTGTGAGTTCTGATTAAAGGAGATTATTTTTCTTGGTCATGTGATCTCTGGTAGTGGCATTGTTGTGGATCCATCGAAGGTTAATGCTGTGTTGCAATGGGAAACTCCAAAGTCAGCTACTGAGATTAGAAGCTTTTTGGGATTAGATGGTTATTATAGAAGGTTTATCGAAGGTTTTTCTAAGTTGGAACTTCCGTTGACTAAGTTGACTTGTAAAGGTAGAGCTTTTGTATGGGATGTTCAGTGCGAAGAAAGTTTTACAGAATTGAAGAAGAGATTGACGTCAGCTTCGATTTTGACGTTACCTAATCCAGGAGAGCCTCTTGTGGTGTACTGTGATGCTTCTAAGATGGGTTTAGGAGGTGTGCTTATGCAGAATGATAAGGTAGTTGCTTATGTATCAAGGCAGTTGAGGAATCATGAGAAGAACTATCATACGCATGATTTGGAGCTTGTTGCAGTTGTATTTATGTTGAAGATTTGGAGGCATTATCTTTATGGTTCTAGATTTGAAGTGTTTAGTGACCATAAGAGCTTAAAGTATTTATTCAATTAGAAGGAGATGAATATGAGGTAGCGGAGATGGTTGGAATTGTTGAAGGATTATGATTTCAGTTTGAATTATCATCCAGGAAAAGCGAATGTGGTAGCTGATGCGTTGAGTCGAAAGACTTTACATATGTCGGCAATGATGGTTAAAGAGTTGGAATTGATTGAAAAGTTACGAGATATGAGCTTAGTTTGCAAGGTGACGCCGCGGAGTGTTGTGTTGGGTATGTTGAAGATTAATAGTGAATTTCTAGATAGTATCAGAGAAGCTCAGAAGCTGGATGTGAAACTGGTAGATTCGGTGGCTGGGATTGATCAGTCTGAGAATAATTATTTTAAGTTAGACGCACAAGGTGTGTTAAGATTTTGTAACTGAATTTGTATTCTTGATGATGCTGAGATGAAGAAAGTGATACTTGAAGAGAGTCATAGAAGTTAGTTGAGTATTCATCCAGGAGCTACAAAGATGTATCAAGATTTGAAAGGTTTGTTTTGGTGTCCTAGAATGAAGAGTGATGTGGCTCGGTTTGTGTATGCATGTTTGACTTGTCAGAAGTCGAAGGTTGAACATCAGAAGCCTGCAGGGTTGATGCAACTGTTAGAAGTTCCATAATGGAAATGGGATAGCATTTCAATGGACTTTGTGACGGGGTTACCTAATACCTTAAGAGGACATGATTCAATTTGGGTGGTTGTTGATAGGATTACAAATTCGGCTCATTTTATTGATTGTGAAGCTGCATGGTGTTCCTTTGTACATTGTGTCAGATAGAGATCCAAGGTTTACTTCTGATTTTTGGAAGAGTTTGCAAGAAGCGTTGGGTTCTAAGTTGAGGTTAAGTTCGGTGTATCATCCTCAGACAGGTGGTCAGACTGAACGGACTATTCAATCGTTGGAAGACTTGCAGAGGGCGTGTGTTCTTGAGCAGGGAGGTTTATGGGATACTTATCTTCCGTTGATAGAGTTCACTTATAATAACAGTTACCATTCTAGTATTGGGATGACACCCCTTGAAGCGTTGTATGGTCGAAGATATAGAACTCCTTTATGTTGGCATGAATCTAGTGAAAGTGTAGTACTTGGACCTGAACTTGTTCTTGAGACTACTGAGAAGGTGAAGTTTATTCGAGAAAAGATGAAAGCTTCCCAAAGTAGACAGAAGAGTTATCATGACAAGCGAAGGAAAGATTTAGAATTTCAAGCGGGTGACCATATTCTTTTGAGAGTTACACCTGTGACTGGTGTTGGGCGAGCATTAAAGTCTAAGAAGCTCACTTCTCGTTTTATTGGTCCATATCAGATTTTGGAAAGAGTTGGGAATGTTGTTTATAGAGTGGCTTTACCGCCTAATCTTTCGAATTTGCATGATGTGTTTCATGTGTCACAACTCCGGAAGTATATTTCAGATTCATCTCATGTGATTCATATGGACGATGTGCAAGTATGGGATAACCTTACGGTAGAGACGATGCATGTACGAATCGCGGATCATGAAATAAAGAATATGAGGGGAAAAGAGATTTCTTTGGTTAAAGTGGTTTGGCTAGGAGCTTCCGGAGAAAGCATGACTTGGGAGTTGGAAAGCAAGATGCAGGACTCTTATCCTGAGTTGTTTGATTGAGGTAAATTTTCGAGGACGAAAATATTCTAAGTGGGGGAGAGTTGTAACGCCCGTAATTTAATTAATTATTTAATTAAGTTATTTTTGGAATATTTGTGAAGTTGTGTTATGATGATAGTTGATGTGTTGTTGTTATTGGATTTGATTATTCTATTAAGTTATGGAATAAAATTAGAATAATAATATTATTTGATGTGGGCTTGTTTTAAGGACTAGAAGTAGTAGAAAGGGGGTGTATGAGTTTTAAACCCATTAAGACATAATGAGAATTATAGGATTATTATATTAGTTTTTAGAAATAATAAGGAAAAGAAGAAGCAGTAAGAAGAGAAAGAAATAAGGGTTGGAAGAGAACACGAAAGTTGCAGAAAAGAAGGAAAAGAGCCAGAACGAAAATCAATCGGAAAAGTTATAGAGCAACCTTCAATCCAAGGTAAGGGTGGGGTTCTGACTCTATAATAGGGTTTATGATGAGTAGTATGTGGGATTAGATGTGAAAGGTTGTTTTGTTTATGATTGAATTATATATATTGTTGTTTGATGAAGATCGATGATTTAGAGATGAGTAATGATGTCCTAATGCTGTATAATTGATGTAGAAACATAGGATTATTATAATTGATGATTACCTATGATTAGAGGATGTTTTTAGGGCCTAAGGCATGGAAACCGCAGTGAAATCGCATAAAATATTCGTGACAGAACAATATGAGTCGACCTTAAAGGCCATGCGTCGACACATGCAGGCTTTTGGGCTCAGGATGAGTCGATACATAGAACTATGCATCGATACATGCAGTGTGGCAGACTCAGTATGAGTCGATACAAGAGGATTGCGCGTCGACTCATGCAGGATTTTAACCCAGTACGCGTCGACTCAAAACATTATGCGTCGACCCATGCAGTCTGATTTTTGGCAGATTCGTTTCCAAAGGCTGTAACTTGAGTTTTCGGACTCCGTTCGAGGTTCCGTTTGGAACGTTGAATAGCTAACACAATGAACTTCATTCTTAAGGATTAAAATGAAGGATAAGAAGAATATTCCTAGTACCCAAATTATGATTAGAGTTAGCTTCCCGCGTTAATCGTTATGATGATTTTGTGAAGTATGATGAGGATAAGATGATTATAGATTATTGCTTGGTTCATAACAGTAAGATTAATGATGATAATGATATAGTATTGCAGAATAATAATATATAGAAGTTTGGTAATTAGAGATAAGTCTTAGATGATTAATTAAATATAGGCATTATCGTGTTGTATGCCTATGGTCAACGTTGAGAGATTGTTGATCTGTCGTTGTATTGTTGTTATGGCTGAGTTGCTGTAAAATTATGTTGATGAAATTATGTTGATGAATTATGCGATGAATGATGTTGACGAATGATGTTGAGATGTCTCTAATAATTGGCAGCTATTAAGATGTAGGTTTCTGGCCAACGATGATGTTGTGTTGAGATGTTGTTAATTATGGTTGTTGTTACTACATTCATGATTGTGTCGCATATATTGCATTTCAAGATGGAGTTGTTGCTCGTTAAGATGGCCTGTATTGGCGAATATTAAGATGAAGGCTTATGCCTTGTTGATGCCTTTAATTATTGGCAATTATTTTGAGATGAGAGTTCTGCTTCAATGGTATCACATGCATTTGCATAGTATTGAGTCGCATTATATGATTGCATAAAGAAGTTGTATATTGATGCGGTAAATGTGTATATTGTTGGTATTCTATTGCGATTATTGTTGTTTATGAGATGTGAAGTGGTGTTATTATATGAGCTGATCTAGCATATTATTTATCATACGTTTTATTATATTGCTAGATATCTCACCCCTTCTGTTTGAATGTTACCCTCACGTTGGTAACGTGCAGGTAATCCAGAGTGAAGGCAGTATACCTTCGGTATTCGAGTCGGTGTCATTGCTCTGATACGTAACACTCGTGGGGATGAACGCTTGTTGCTTTTAATGATTGATTATTTCAGTTGTTGAACTTTAATTTGATTGTTGCTAAATATGTGTTATTTTGAAGTTGTTGTAATTGTTGGACAAAGATATTATTATGATTCTGCTGCGTAGATGTTCAAGTTGTTGAATTAAGAGATTAAATTATTATACTGATGGTTCATCCGAGATTTTAAAGTGTCATGTATCCACGTTGAATGCAATGTGTTTTAAGTTGAATTTGTGGCATCCTGATTCAGTTGTATGAATTTTTAAAACTCTGATTTACATTTATAATTGTCGGGGTAGAATTGGGGTGTTACAAACTCCGTCGCGAACCACCGCACTATTCACTGTGTTGTTCGAACTGTCGCTATCGGAGGCCATGGAAATGAATCAAGAAGCTCTAGATACCAAATTAAACAAGTAGAATGAGTAGAGATAAAAGAAAAGAAGAGAGAGAAAGTTTGTTGTAACTGAATTTGTTATTTCATTATTATAATTACAATTATGTTTGAACAGAATTTATAGTACATTAGACTTAGCTACTATATACTAACCTACTATTACTCCATTACTTTTAATGGTGAATGGGTGCGTCAAATTTTAAATGAAATGTTTACAAGGATAAATCATTCATATTGAATTATCTTTGGATGTCATTTCGAATCTTTTGATGTATACATTTTATTTTCTTTCACCATTAGTCTTAGTAATCGTAACTGGTTGTATTCTGTGCGTACTTGATTATTGGTGTCCATGATATTCTATGCATTAATAGCTGTTTGTTACCACTATTTTTCTGTATAGCTTCAAATGCTCCTGAATTTCATGTAAATTTCCTTACTTTATTGGTTGTTACCAATGTAACCCACTTCACCATTTTCAGTTTCTTCTTTAAAAATGCTACTTTGCCTTGTTTTTCACTTCAGGTTATTACTCATTCAAAACTCTATATCTTTCTCTTACTATGCTACAACTAGTTCTACATGCAGATCTGGGTTGTTTCAATTTTGGTAAAAAAATGTACTTTTCAACATTATGGACTAGAATTTGCTTCTAAGCATTTTTGGTTTTTTTTTTTTAATGATAAATTGTGTGCTTGAGAAATTTTATGTTGTGTTTATTTGTTTAGGATCTGAAAGTACTTGTAGAGAAACATTTTTAATTTGTTTTTTTTTTTTCATTAGTAGTTGTTGAACTGCTTTGAATTGTTTTTCATCTTGTAAATTTGAAGAAAAATTGGTTTTTTATTTGTTCAATAAAATCATTGTAGAAATTCAGCTTGTTCCTCCTTAATGTTAGTTCATGTTGGCTAGAAAATTATTTGACTTTTTTCTTACTTTCCTCTTCTGTCAAAATCTATGAATTCCTTTTGTTGTTCATGAAACAACGTATCTTTCTTTTAGCAGCAGAAAAACTTGTTTCTCTTTCTAGATTAACCTTTTTTACCTGTTTTCTAGTACTTTTTAAACTAAGCACTGTTCCTTTCTTTTGCTTAAGCTTTCAACAATCATCATTTCACCTTAGGTTACTCTTTGTAATTGCTTTGCACCTATGATTTAGGTTTCGACATGCTTAAAGTAGTTGTTTTAACTTTATTGAGTAATCTTATTTGTAAAGTTGAAATAGTTATAAATCAGGCAAGAAAATTGTTCAACTTCATTAAACTTTGATGAGTTTTCTTTACTCTGATGGATCCTAATTTTGATTTATGTTCATTTTGCCAAAACAGGAAAACATGAAGGTTGGGAAAATTTACTCTAAATTCATGTCCATGAAGTTCTATTATGCTTCAATGGCTTCTTTTCTTTTTGTCATAGCTATTCTTTTCCCTTGTGTTATTGCCGATCTTAATTCCGACAAGCAAGCCCTTCTTGATTTTATCAATGCTGTGCCTCACCGTCGAAACCTGATGTGGAATCCATCCGCCTCAATCTGTACATCCAGTGGCGGAGCCAGCGTCCGGCCAGGTAGGGCAGCTGCCCAGGCTCCGCCCGACCATGTTTCACCATCTCGCGATGGAGATCTTTTATGGCCATCTTCCGACACACCATACCGTAAACAGATACACACCGCAACACCACTCTTGCCTTTCCGGTTTCCGTTCAATCAATTATCGGTGAGCATCACCTTCCTCCGCCGATTCTTTCTTCTTCTTGCTTCTGTTTCAATTCATATCTCCTACATCATTGTTGTTGTTTTGTTATTTGTTGTTGTTGTTGTTGTTGCAGGTTGTGGTGTTGAATTTGTTGTTTCGTGCTATGTCCACCAAGTGTTCGGTAAAATTTCTGAACGAATATTTTTCTTATTGGGCATCCTAGAATCCAATCCAGAGAGTATATCAACTTTTCTATTCGACTACTGGAAAATCTTATGTACAAAAACTATCAATTTAAGTTAATGATAAATATTATGTGTAAAATTTATCCGTTTAAATGTGAAACATATGTGTCCATTAATTTGACTCTTCTACTTCTATTGATGTCTTATTGTACATGCAGGGAGTGCTTCTGGATATTTGAAATGAATGAAGATTCTGGATATGTGAAAAATCTCAGTTAGTAACACCCAGAGACACGAAATATAGAAGTCAAGTGTGTGTAGAAAGGTTCTATCGTCAGCGTTGAATTCGTTGAAGTCTTCGTTGCCTATGGTACTTATCTTGTAATCCTTCTTTTCTTAGAGATATAGCTTTGATGAAATATTTAATGATTAATATTAATGACTGGCGTCTTTGTTGTGTTTGCTTAATTAATTGAACTAAATAAAAATGAATTAGACATTCCTGTGTCAAGATTATCTTGGTTTATTTTGTTAATAATGATTTTTATTGTTTGGTGTATTTTTCTCTTGTGAATAAATCAAAGGTTTAAGTGTGTGCAACTTATTTCAATATTATTGTTCTGTTATTGTTATAGTTTGTCATGGAATATTTTTTCATTGTATTGTTTCAACTTATTTGAATGTGCTTGTAAACCAGTATATTATTTCAGCTTTTGTATTGTTTAATTTTCATTGTAGTATACATGCTTATGCATTTGAATTACTCTGCATTCTATTTCAAAGTTACTACTATATACTAATCTCTGCATTGTGCATTTGAGTTCCAGTTAACTATTAATTGTTTTCTGCATTCAGAATTCTACATACTAGCGTATACTAATTTCTGTTATCTGTTTTCTATTTCTTATATTCTGCATTTGATTAACTCTGTATTTTGTTTCAAAGATACAATTACTAATGTATACTAATCTCAGCCTAATACTAAGTGTATGTAGTTTTAGGCATAGTCTGTGATATACTAAAGCCCAAGCTCCATTATTATCTGTTACGATTCGTCAAAAATAATTATGTCAAATACGGTTTTGGTAGAAAATTATGAAGTCAGTGGTGGAGCCAGTGAAAACTTGCCCATGTTTCATAATTTTTCTGACTCCGTAGTTGCTACATGCAGTTATAGAAATTGAGTTTAAGAAATGAGAAAACTTACTGCATGAACTATATTTTGTTTATACATATGATATGAGTTTTATGTCACTGATTAATCTTTGTGAGTTAATTGATCAAGTGATTTTGTGCTCTTGTGTAAATTAGGTTTGATTGGGTCATTACTGTGAATGGAAAGAAGGAGAAAATAGCTTCAGGTTTGTTCAACCCCTTTCACTTCCACTTGAAGGTTGCTCAAGATCAAATGGCAAAGGTTGGTTATTCAATTGTTCTTGTGCCTGAGCACGAAAGCGATGCCACATGGTTTTCCAGAGTAAATATTGAAAGGTATGGTTTGTTATCATAATTTTTTATTTGTTGATAACTTAGATTGGCATATCTTGGAATCATTGTTGTTAAATAGCAGTTATAGCTATTGTACTATAATATAGCGGAGTTTGATCACATCCTTATTGTTTTTTGTTATGCTACTTAGTACAATGTGTTCTCAAATAGTGGCTCTACAACATTGTAGCATACCAGAATTTTAACAAACCACCATTTCTCCGATCTGCATTTGACAACATTATTTGGAATTTGAATTGATAGTGGTGTTTTTAGGCAGTACTTAATTTCTCACAAATGAGTGTGTTGAACTAATTTTCTCGGCTTTTATAGGTTTGTTCATTTTGTGAGCACACCTGAAATACTGTAACATGTATATATTATAAAATCCGAAATCTTACAAATTGAAGAGGCAATTGCAATTCAAGGAAATAATTCCTTTGGGATTAGCATTGTACTATCTTGGTAGAAAATTATGAAGCCAATGAAAAGTTGCCCAGGCTTCATAATTTTTCTGGCTCCGCCACTGTATGCATATACTGTGCATACTTGATTATTGGTGTTCATGATATTATGTGCATATTTTGTGCGTCCTGTGTTGAATACCCTTCTATTTCTATATCTCTTGGTTGAGACAATGTTTGCGTCAAATAGGTACTTCCAAGTTTTGAGAGCAATGTGCCTATTTGCATTTATAAATTATGCAATGCAGACTTTTGCCTTTAATGAAGAAGCTACATCTAAATTGACCATGGAAAATTTTAAAAAGAACAACAAGGGAAAAATATGGGATTTCAAGTGTCTGTTAAATTGTAATTCAATGTGTCGAAAAGATTTGATTTGTTTTAGATTTAAATAGATTTGATTTAAGTCTAGAATAAATTAGATTTGATTTAGTAACAAAAAGATATTTTGGGCTTTGGGCTTAAGGTGTAAGCTCAGTTATAAATAGAGGGAGTAACCCCTATTTTTGTAAGCAAGTCAAGAAAGTTGTATTCACAAAATTTACAGTTGCAAGTGAATAACAAAGTTTTCACAGTTTGTGAGCAAAGAGAAACTCTGCAGAAATTATTTGTCTTGTCTTCTTTTCTTTGTTTGTCTCATAATTAAATTGTCATTGTGGTAGAAATTCATCAGAGAATTCGGTGAGTTTCCAACATCTGGTATCAGAGCTTTGTTTCGATTCAAGGGAAGTGTCAATCAAGAACGATTGAAGAATTCACGATGATAAGTTATGGGAATGCAAATTATCCAGCAACCCTACCAATTCTGAAAGTTGACAACTATGAGAATTGGTGCAAACAGATGAAAGTCTTATTCAGGTTTCAAGGTCTTTGGGACCTTGTAAAAGATGGAGTCGAAGCGCTTGGAGAAAACGCTTCAGAAGAAGAAAAGAAGAAATACATAGAATCTGAGAAGCTGAGTTATAAAGAATTATTTATAATTCATCAATGTGTCAGCCCAGACAATTTCGAAAAGGTTAGTGATTCAGAATATGCAAAAGAAGCTTGGGAAATCCTTGAGAAGTCTTTTGGAGGTGCTGAGAAAGTGAAAGAAGTGAGGTTACAAACTCACAAAAGGACCTATGAACTGCTTCAGATGGAAGACAGTGAAAGCATATCTGATTTCTTCACTAGAGTTATAAAACTAGTAAATCAAATCAAGATATATGGAGAAGCGTTAACAACAAGAGTTGTTGTGTCGAAGATCTTGATATCTTTAGCTCCTAAGTTCGACCACATAGTGGTGGCGATAGAAGAGGGGAAAGACTTATCTAAATTGACAAAGGAAGAGCTTCAAGGGACGCTTGGATCTCATGAACAAAGAATGAACAAAAGAGCTGCAGGAAAATCGAAGAGTGATGTGGCCTTGCAGGCACATTAAGCAAAAGAGACCAAAGGCAAAGGAAAGTGTTTCGACAGAGGTAGAGGTGGCTACAACAAATCGAATGGTAGAGGAAACCAGATTGAAGGAAACGTGTCGAATTAAAGAAGACCATACCAAGGAAACCAAAGAGGTGGTGTTGCAAATAGAGGAAGAGGTGGTGGTCGAAAACCTGATAAGAGTCACATTCAATGTTACAATTGTCAGAAGTATGGACACTATGCGAGTGATTGTCCAGAAAAACGAAAGAATCAAGAAAGTGATGCAAAGCTTGCAAAACATGAAGAAGAAGAAGAGATGGTGCTGATGGTCACAACAAGAGATGAAGATAGATTCAAGGACCAATGGTACTTGGATTCAGGATGTTCATCACATATGTCTGAAAGGAAATACTGGTTCGTCAATATAAAACCCTCAATGAAAAATATGGTAAAATTTGCAAATGACAATACCCTAGCAGCTGAAGGTATTGGTGATGTTATGATTATGAGGAAAGATGGCAAAAGGTCAGTAATCTCCAATGTGTTGTACATACCAGGCATGAAGAGCAATTTGCTCAGTATAGGGCAGTTGGTCGAAAAGAATTATAAAGTGTCAATCGAAGATAAGATGATGAGAGTCGTTGATGCAAATGGGAGATTAATCTTGAAGGCTCCTATGTCTCAGAATCGAACCTTCAAGATTGAACTAAATGTGATGGAGCACAAGTGCCTTTCGACTGCAGCTAGCAGAGATGAATGGATATGGCATTATAGACTAGGCCATCTCAACTTCAGAGACATCAGATATTTGAAGAGAAGAAATATGGTTTCAGGATTTCCATAAATTGACATTCCAAATGAGGTATGTGAGGAATGTGTGCAGGCGAAGCAACACAAGAATAACTTCAGCAAGGATGCAGGAAGCAGATCGAAGGCTAGTCTTGAAGTCATATACTCTGATGTATGTGGACCAATCCAGGTGGATTCGATGGGAGGTAACAAATACTTTGTTACATTCATAGATGATTTCAGTTGAAAGCTATGGACTTACCTGATCAAGAAGAAAAGTGAAGTGATCGAAGTATTTACCAAGTTTAAGTCTATGGTCGAAAGACAAAGTGGTCGAAAGCTCAAAGTTTTGAGAACTGGTGGTGGTGGAGAATATGTGTCGAAAGACTTCGACAAATTATGTGAAAAGGAAGGGATTGTGCATGAGGTGGTGCCACCCTATACTCCACAACAAAATGGAATTGCAGAAAGGAAAAATCGAACCATCATGAATATGGTGAGAAGTATGTTGAAAGGCAAGAATTTACCTAAAGAGTTTTGGGGTGAAGCTGTTTCGACTGCAACATACATTTTGAACAGATGTCCTACAAAGAAGCTAGAAGGAATTACTCCAGAAGAATGTTGGTCTGGTTTGAAGCCTAGCTTGAGTCATCTGAAGGTATTTGGATCTATTGCACATAGACATGTGCCAGATCAGTTGAGAAGAAAACTTGATGATAAGTCAAGTAAAATGATTCTAGTTGGATATCATTCGACAGGAGGCTACAAGTTGTTTGATCCAGTGAAAAAGCAGATTATGATCAGCAGGGACATGATCATAGATGAGTTTAAAGAATGGGATTGGACTGATAATGTCAAGAAAGATTCAGTGGGAATCCTTCTTGAAGAGCCAGAAACTCAAGTCAAAAGAGAAGTTCGACAAGAGGAACCAACAAATATACCAAGTACAAGCAGGCCTCAAAGAACAAGACGCATGCCTGCAAGATTGTAAGATTGTGTGATTACATCAGATGATGTAATAGATAATGAAGGTGAGCCGGTACATTATGCTTTCTATGCAGATGTTGAACCCGTTAATGCAGCTGAAGCATTAAAGGATTCGAAGTGGATGAAAGCAATGAACGAAGAAGTAAAGTCTATCAAAGACAACAACACTTGGTCACTTGTCGAATTGTCTCAAGGCAAGAAGGCAATTGATGTCAAGTGGGTATACAAAGTGAAAACGAATTCGAAAGGTGGAGTAACTCGACACAAAGCAAGACTTGTGGCGAAAGGATTTCTACAGAAAGAAGGAATAGACTTCGATGAAGTTTTTACACCTGTTGCTAGGATCGAAACAATCAGGTTGGTTGTTGGTCTAGCGGAAATAAACAGTTGGCACATATGTCAGATGGACGTGAAGTGTGCATTCCTAAATGGACCCTTAGATGAAGAAGTCTATGTTAAACAACCAGTTGGGTTTGTGAAACATAACGAAGAAAGAAAGTTGTACAGGCTACATAAAGCCCTGCATGGATTGAAACAAGCTCCAAGGGCTTGGAATAAGAAAATTGATAGTTTTCTAAGGGAGAAGGAATTTGTGAAGTGCACAACTGAACATGGAGTATATGTAAGAAGAAGCAAGAGTAAATTGCTTATACTATGTCTCTATGTAGATGATTTGTTGATAACAGGTAGCTGTAAAAGTGAGATCGAAGACTTCAAAGGTGATCTCAGCAAGGAATTCGAAATTTCTGATTTGGGTGAGATTTCATATTTCCTTGGTATCGAATTCTACAAGAGCGGTAGAGGTTTGATGATGCATCAAAGAAGATATGCAGGAGAAATTCTCAAGAGGTTTGAAATGGAAGAATGCAACTCAACTTCGACACCTGCAGAACCAAGACTACAACTGTCGAAAGATGCAGATGAAGATGATGTTGATCCAACCCAATACAGAGGACTTATTGGATCATTGAGATACCTTTGTCATACAAGGCCTGACTTAGCATATAGTGTAGGTATGGTAAGTAGATTCATGTAGAAGCCAAAGGTATCACATCTAGCAGCAGTGAAGAGGATACTAAGGTATCTCAAAGGAACTTTCGATTATGGCATTTTGTTTCCTGCAGTTGATAAAGGAAAAGAATGCAAGTTAGTGGGATACACTGATTCGAGTTAGTATAGTGATGCTGAAGATCGAAAGTTAACAGCAGGATATGTTTTTATGCTAGGTGGTGCACCAGTTGTTTGGAATTCAAGAAAGGAACCAGTAGTGGCATTATCATCATGCGAAGCAGAATACATAGCTGCTTCTCTTTGTGCATGTCAAGCAACCTGGATGGTGAACTTGGTCGAAGAGATAACAGGGAAAAATCATGGAGCAATTACCATGAAGATAGACAGCATGTCAGCTATTAATCTGGCGAAGAACCCAATAGCACATGGTCGAAGTAAGCACATCGAAATGAGGTTCCATTATCTTCGAGAGCAGGTAGCAGATGGGAAGATGAATTTGAAACACTGCAGAACTGAGAATCAGATTCCAGACATCATGACGAAGGAAGTGCAAGTCGAAGTATTCAGAAGACTAAGAGCCATGATGAACATAGATAGTTTAGACACAATGAATTAGGTGGTGTGTTAAATTGTAACTCAATGTGTCAAAACTATGTGTCAAAAAGATTTGATTTGTTTTAGATTTAAATAGATTTGATTTAAGTCTAGAATAAATTAG